AATTGCTACGATCTTTTAAAGTTTTAAATTGCGACTACTACTATTGCAGACGATGTTATGTAGGTATCTGGAAAAAAATTAATTCTAACTGCCGTCTTGTGTCATTTAAGGATTATACATGCATGATATAAACATCTGCTTTAATACAAATTCATCACGAAGGTTGCGCTGATGAATTACTCCAAAAAATGATTCCAACAGACAACTCTATTAAATTTTTGATATTTACAGCGTCATGAATACTATCATTAGTGAAATTTATGTGTTACCGTCTTTAATATTTTGAAGAGATAATAATAATTACTGAATACAGGTTATTTGAAAAATCATTGATGAAAGATGTAGTAAGCTTCTTGCTCCAATACTTTTTTTTTTGCTTGATTTGAACTCATGATGTAGCGCAGGCTGAAGTTTTCACACCTGTCGAATTTGAGTTCAACGATGTGCACCTCATAACGCGTGACGATTTCTCCTCTTTAGCTTAATAATGTCCAACGTTATTTTGTGTTTTCTTTTAAAAAGTAGAAGATTAAGTTATCTATTTTTATACATTGGCTAAAATTTTGCTTACAATATTACATTATAATTCTAACACCTGGATACAACATTCATGGGGTTGAGCTTTTTAATATACCTTGCGATTTGCCTTAAAAAATTAGAAAATTTCGATGTTTCTAAAATTCCTGAAGAAGACAATTCTCAAAACTCACCTCATAGAAATCTTCAGAACATGAACGAGATCAGCACAATTTTTGAAATTTTGGGAAATCTAAAATAGAAAAAAAAAATTGCCGGCGACATTTTCAATAATAATTTTCACACAACACACAACATTGGACTCTAATTTTGACCAAATTAAAATTGAATAGATTTTTAAGCCGATGAAAATTTTCATTCGGGATTAAAATAGTATATGTATTATGCGACAAGTGGTTGAAATAAAATTTCAGCATTGAGAGTGTGTGAGGAACTCGAAACGTTGAAATTTTATCAACCACGAGGCCCATATACTATTTTTTCTAAGAATTTTAAAGATAAACGTAACAATTTAAGTTGGACGGCCCCGATAAGGTAAGATTTCTCTTATCAACAAATTATTAAAAATGTCAAATTGTTTCAAATCGCGGTAGTCCGATTACTACAACCTCTAGTGGTTGAAATTCAATTTGGCGGCAATGTCAAAATAACGCATTTCAATGAGTAGAAAATAGTATATTAAAAAACGAGTTTCATAAGGCAAATATTGAGGCATGAATCCAAGAACGAGCGGCGAAGCCGCGAGTTATATAAAGGATGGCTGCCACAATGGCCTTATGAACGAGTAATTTATATTATTTTTTCTACCGTGCACGTTTTTCACAAAATTTAATTGAAATTTGTCTTTTTTTAAATCTAGGGAATTTTGTCGTGGTTGGTGATGGGGTTGGTCTGAAACCAACCACGAAATATTTGAGGTTCGAATTTTCACAACAAGAACTGTAATTCGAATCAATTCAAGTTTTTGTAAGTTAAAATTGGTCAAATGTCTTGTGAAGAAGTTAATGATGTCCTTACGCCTCCGGAAATACGGGAAATTTTAATTTGATATTTGCCACTGACATTCACCTGACATTTCACGTCATGGCTACTAATCTTACCGATGTAAATTACACCAGATCTATTAAAGAACGCCTTTCCGCTATTAACGAACTGCTGTGACGTCATTTGCGTGCTTTAATAGCTCTATTAGAAAATCAAAAAACGTGCGCAGTAGAAAAAATCATTTTTCATAGACGCTCCCAAAAAAACTCAAAAGTTCCCCGAACAGTTACCCTGGCAACTATTTGCTTTGATAAATCTGGTTACTTTGGTGGCAACCCACTATGTATTTTCGAGAAATATTTGCTTTGGTCACGTTAGTCGTATTAAGAGATTTGTTGAGGTGTTTTTGGGGAGCTTTGCCTTGGTACTTGTAACAAAAATAACTGTTATAAAAAATTCTTGAGAATCTCAAAAATTGTTCGAAGGTTATTTCGACGTAACTTTCCTTGCTAAAGTACAGTACAAAAAATCCAGATGTTTCGAAAAATTAAAAGATTTGATTTTGCGAATTTTATTTTTTTATGCCAACCCTTATAAGTTAAAATAAAGTTAAGTATGTGGTGTTGTTAAAGTAAAGGTAAAGAACCGTTGCTATACGTTTGTTTCAAGTGAGTTTTTACATTATAAAATTTTATGATGACGTCATCAACATTTTGCAAGGACACATATCAGTTTGAATAGATGCAGTTAATACTAATTATAACAGTGGTGTGTTCCCATATTTTCGGGAAAATGGAGTTAGTCGTTCTTGATTTAATCAATATAATAAATTGCCTCATTCATTAATTTTTGTGAGTCATCCTGTGTAAGTAATTTCAAAAATAATTAGTGCGTTGATAAATCAGCATTCACAATATTTTGCATATTTCAGAGAGGATTTATTCGGTAAAATTTTGATATTACACCATCAATTTTTTTGGGAGAAGGAGGGATAAACGAATAAATTTCGATTAACGATTTACCATACTTATCATTACCTTAAAACTTTTGCAAGATTGCTGAATGTCCAAGGTGAAAACTCAAAATGGATTCATAACATCATAAGTGCTGGAGTATATTATTTTATAAACTAAAATAAATTTACTATTATTTTACTAAATTTTGGAGATGACGTCATCGAAATGTTAGTGGGGATGATTAGCCAAATTTTGGTTAGTGTTTACCATCAACACGATATCACTAATATACATACAAAATTTAATAATAATCGATCGAGTAGTTTCGGAGATTATCGGTGTATTAAAAATCCGGACAGACGGACGGAAACAGGAGACCTATTTCTTCGTAGTCGAGAAAACAAAAGTAGAGCCGTTGGACTCGATTACAATACTTCCTTAACTCGGGAAGTAGAAAGAACATTTTATATATTTTATCCTTCACAATATTTAGTCACGTTATTGGAAGGCCTACGTTTCAAGTGAGTGTTTTTTTTACTTTTGAACACAATCAACTACTCCAAAACCGATTTGTTCGATTCGTTGATTTTTTTTTTGCGATGTACGTAATTATGGATTTTTCTTTTAAATCATTGATTTTCTTCTTTTAAAATAATGAAAAGAGGGAAGAACCAATAAGAGTTCAAATTTGGCTTAAAACAACTGTTTTGTATGATTATCATCCTGAAGTTTCTAAAGATTTTCAACAAATGTGCCGCAATAAATACGTAATATGTCTATGTGAATGAAAAAATAAATAGATCACCCCCATTTTCGTCTGTTCTATTGTCTGTGTTGTTTTTTATTAGACAGATAATCTTTAAAACTACCGGACCAATTCTTGTCAAACTTTTATGATGGGGATATCGTGTAGATTGTAAAACGCTAACAAAAATTCGTCTAATCATTCCCACCAACAATTTGAATACGTCACCTCAAAATTTTCATGATAAATGCATACTATGTATATGAATTTTGAAAAGTAACATACTGGTGTACTTATAGTTGACAAATCAGCTTTTTATACTAATTTAAGCGAACTGTGTATCAACGCCGGGTAGTGTAGTGGTCAAAGCGTTCGTAACGCAAAGCTGCACCTTTTTTCTTACGCTGTGACTGTCATTATCTATATTTATATATAGAGGTCATAAAAAAAAAATCGCCAAATCAAATTTTATAATTTTTCGATCTGGGATTTATTGGAGTGTATGTCAGGGGCGAGGGAAGTTGTGTCCAAATCACCTTAAACCTGTTTTTTTCTAAAAGCGTATTTGAATTTAATGTTCAAATACGAAAAATTGAATGAAAAAATAAATGCAAGTTCTCAGCCAACAGTTCAACTATTCTGGAACTTAACTGTTACAAGTCATTAAGGTCTGTTAAAATTTGAGGGATCTATTTCTGTATCAGGTAATTCCTAAAAGTGAACATTTGTATGTTATTTTTATCCATGTATCGAAGGCATACGTTCAGTTTAAGACAAATCTAATAAATATGTTGGGACTTTATTTCTGTACTCTGATTTTTGTTTTATTTTTACTGATTTAAGTGTAGTACAAACAGACGATTCATTGCTTTTAAAGTTAATAGGAAGCAAAAAATGGGCCAACATTTTTATTTTCAGAAGCCATTTTGTTAACAAGATTAAGATCATGGCTGCGATTAAAGACTAGTGTTTCAGATTAGCTATGACTATGCGAAGTATACAGAAATGAAATATATAACAAGCCGGAACGAATTTTTCTAACTTTTAAAGATTATTTTTTACAAAAACACGAATTCTCGATGCCTGGATTTTTTGGGAAATACTCTCCAGGATTCCTTGGTCGGAACCGTCTCTGTCCAAATTGATCTATAAACATGTTAAATTGTTCAACAATAGGGTATGTTTAGAATTTAGATCATGACGGATCAGATCTTGTTCGACAAAACATTTAGTGAAGCACATTTCAATTTTATAAAAGACATGGATAATTATTATTTGTGCTTTTGGACTTTTAATTCTTATTATATGTGTTAATACAGTTTTCCATATCTGTCCATCTTGATGAAGTTTTAAAAGCCCGACTTTAATCTACTGAAGCGGACTTTTTGCGCTTCGCGTCAGAAGAAAAAAACAATATATTCTGAGCACGTTTTCAGTTAACAATAGCCATTAAAAAGCCGTAAATAAAACAGATATAAACGAAATTATGCATAAATGACAAAATGTAGCCGCCATTTTGCAATAAAAATGAAACAGTTACAGGTATACTAACATATATTATTTATTCTGCCACAATTTATGGGTCATAAACATTTTTAGTTTGTGGGCAATTATACAAATTAACTATAGCCAGTGCGGTGATAATAAAAGTTTAATGGGTTTTTATTAATTAGTAGTTTGCGGAATATGTTCCCAAGGTGACGGAAATAATGTTTCACTAATTCTCTTCTTTTTCGACACCACACTGTTTTAATGCGTTTTTTATGTCATTGTTTCAGATGTTCGGATTACCACAATATAAAAACGGAAGTTGTGATTGTAATGCACTATCACATCACCATGAAGGTAGTGCAAGAAGTATGTTACTGTTTCAAGTCAATCCGTCTCGTCAAAGGTGTAGTCGTCCTAACTGTTACAATAATAGTCTATAGTTAGCAATAAATAGTACTGATAACAGAATTTTTTAAATTCGATGTAATCGAAGTCAAAAATTCCCAAAAAGTGGAGCTGTTATTTCAAGGAGTTTTAGCGATAACGTCCAGTTGTCAAGTTTAAAGTCTTGCTGTGTATTCTTTGTTGATAGCATAAAATGTAAAATGTACATACGGTTATAATAATTATTTTTTGTACAAAGAGTGTCTGCAAAAGCTGTCTTGAGCGTTTTGTGTATTTGTATTTTAGGGATTGTGGCCAAATGAAAGGCCTTGTGATACAATTGACTTAATTTACTATAGTGTTAATGTTGTTAGTGATTTCCATGAATTTTGACCGAATTATGAGAAGTAGGTTAAATATTCCCAAAGTTTTTCATCAGAAATATTACTTATTGTAAGATGATCATTCATCCATACTTGTAAGATGTGGTGGATTCAAATCAAAGTTTTTTGTAGTTTGACACAATCACTGGTTTACTGTGGTTTTGCGGTATAAGAAAAGGTACTTCTGTAATTTAATAAACATTTACGACGTGTATTAATCTTTAATGATAAAATGTATGGTAATAAATTTTAAGTACATTGCTGTAGCTTTTAGCAGTTTACTGTCTTCTAAGTGTATAGTTCAATATAGTTATGTTTACTAATTGCATAGTTATTTCGTCTACTATATCATTTGCATCCGCAAGACTAAAGTGGCTGCTTTGCCGAAGGACACCGACTTAAAATGCAAATAATGGATTCCACGCACAACGAGGTAAGTGTATGATTTCTTCACTGAATTTTAAAAATATTTTTACCAGCTTTTACACTAAAATATTTGGGAGCAAAATGTATTTTGTTATTCCTATTGGAGGAATAAATAGCTTCCGGTTTTTTATTACTACGTCCTTATTTTGATCGGCATAAAGCGTAAAATTTGCTATTGTTCCGTAAGTATGTATATCGACAGACAAAACGTAGTGTGAGGATTTTTACTTGTTATTGTGATAAATTGGTCGTAGCATATGTTGTGTGTATTTATATTAAAGTGTAAAGTCTATGGGGGCCTTCTAACATTCTAGAAGTAATGTGTCTGAAAACAACGATAATTGCAGTTAAAAGAACTGAAACAAAGTTTGTCGGGCAACGAAGGGAGAAATGACTTAGTGTTATTGGTTTGTACATTTTTTGTGATTTTTGTATTCATTTCATTTCTACATATTTCTACACGGAAAATTGAACCAGAAACATATGATAAATGTGTTTTTACCCCTGAAAATATAATATATCAGCAAAACTTTATTACAATTATTTCAATGTACTTACGAGAAAGCACATGTTTTGTGCATATTTTTCACACAATTTGCAAAGACACAACTTTGAGTTTTTCAAGACTTCGTACTACGTATCTAACCAATTTCTCTTGATAATGTAATTCAACCGCTAAGGAGGTGAATTAATTAGTGTTGAATAATACACTACGACAATATTTATGAATTGATACATATCGGTACCTACAAAGTATTGGTTTTAACGTTTTAAAAATAGTATTTAAATGAGACTTTTGGTTTTGATTCGAGTATTTACCATTCCCCCGTAATTTGCATAACTTAACATTTTGGTATTTTGGGTGTTTGATAATCACCATGTTATTAATGCACGCAATGGATACGTGACTAAATAGACTACCTGAATTTAAAGCTAGAGGCACCGCCCAAAATATTACAGCTTGTCAGATTTAATTAGAGTTGGAGCCGACAGCTTTCTCACACTTGAGAGTCTACATCGGCTCCAAGTATTTTGCCAAGAAAAAAAGATCTGATTTAGGTGCGTTTTTGAAACAAATGGTAATGGAAAATTCCAGACACACCACATTTCTATGCCCAAAAAACCTGCCGCATATTGTACCATATGCTGCATGAAGTTTTTGGATATCAGAGAACTGCCAGTTTTAGCTTGCAACCATGTGTTCCGCTTTCAACACGCGATTTTGTATCTTTATGTCAATTAAAATTGAAATCCCATTTTTTTGGAGTTTATTCGCAGAATGACTAGTATAGTTTTGGAAATTTCTTTCTACCCTATAAATTTTATTGCCAATAACGAGGCGTACTGTGGTACAATGGTAAGAAATATTTATGTCGGAGAACATTTAGTAGGTAGTTGTACTCATAAAATAATTATTTGTTCGTGAATAACGATGGTCCTTGTCCGAACCTGGATTATTCTGCTTTCTAACATCTGGGGATTACCGGCACGCGACAACTTTAAGTTGTAAATATCTCTTGCTATTGTACTACTGTCCGTCTCGTTATTGCCAATAAAATTTTATAGGGTAGAAAGAAATTTCCAAAACTGTAATTAGGATTTCAAGAAATGAAGCAAACATTTGATGACTCCACACTCTATAAAAAATTTTAAACAACAAAAATTTACATGATGTTAAATCATGCATTAATTTAAGTTAATGCTTAAATCAAAAAACACAACACACGAATATTAAATACGGTCATAATCAAAATCAGGAGGGTTTGGTGCGAAAATGTCTCAGCAATAAATTGTCCAAATTCAGCTTGTTGAAAGGTGATACACAAGAAACAATTAAAAAAACAAGCACAAATTAAACCCCACATCCCTCGGTGTACACACCTGTTACTAATTTGATCGATGTAAACTTTCAAAGTCTTTTCACCTTAGTGTGGATGAACGTTTCAGATTAGTTTAAATGCCAATAAATGAACTTATTAAATCTTGAGTGAGAAGTTATGAGATGTGTTATTAACTTAAGTAAAAACATTCAGAACTACTTAATTATATCGTTGTTATCGAAAATAAATTAGGCCCGAATAAATGAATTTCCGTCACGTGTTTGTTATATGGACATTTACATGATTGTTGTAAATTTGTATCAGAACCATGAATAGTTAAAAATCATGAACTCTGAATTTACAAACAATGAAAACAACTGGAAGTGTTTATGGACTCATCAAAGCTTTACACATTTCAGATAAGAAAATCATTAATAAAATGATATTACACTGACGAAATTACAAACAAAACTGTAGATACCAAAATCTAACACATTTTTCAACCAGCACTCCTACATAAGCAGTCGTGAAAAGAACGTAAAAATCTACATGCGCCACATTCAATTCCTTTATTCCTACGAAGTCAAGGGTGGTGACATTTCTCTACACATGGTTGCCTACGAAATTAACTGATTATTCTTATTTTTAATTTGTCAAACGCGGTTTTGCGGCGGATTTTTTTTTTCAGTGGGAAATTTAAATTTCAAATTCGGAATACAGAAGCATTTTGCTGTCTTTTCGGTAATCATATTTAATTCTTCTAATAAAAAAATGTGTTTCTTTCAGTTGTAAAAAATAAGTAAAGGAAGCAAAACTTTGTTGTAAGTGTATAGTTTAATCAAACTTAACTACGAATGTATAATTTCATAAAATTGAAATCTTAGTCACTGTCTCTCTTTCTACTTTTATTTTTCCCCCTATAAGTCGTAGTTCTGAAGCCTGCAAAAAATCCTTTTGAGTCACCTGTAACCTGTAACACCAATATCACGACTGGATTAAATTAACATAAAAACTCTGATGCGAAGAGTTCGGTAGTGGCTGGCCTTTTTTTGAAAAAATAAGACAGCACTTAAATTCACGGTCCACAGCTATAGTCGCGTCGGCTTAAATACTTTTAATTTTTAGTGTAAAGTGTAAATATACAACCCTCTTTTAATATAGTAGCTCTCCAGTGAATAACGAACCAAACTCGAACTCGCGTAGAGGTCCTGAAACTTGCATAAAAACCTACTTCTTGAATTATTTTATTTGCTACTTACTTTTTAGAATTTTAAATATTTGTTCTAACCGCTCTATGTAGTCAGATTTGCGGTAAAAAGAGTTAGTTGTGCGAAACCAGTTCAATATTCTAGTCGTTAATAATGCCGGTTTTGGCGCGATTAAATTATAATCGAGATGAGTTCGAACGGCATCGGCATTCCAACAGATGTCTTATGCGGCGTTGCATAAACATGTTACTATGGTAATAAAAATCAACACCTTTTTTTACTAATTTAGAAAGGTTCCTGAATTAAAGTAAAAACGAGATACCTAACTTTACTAATATCTCAATTATGTAAATACTAACGGAGAGCTAATGTACAAGAAAACTTGTTACTAATTACACCGTACACTCTGATGATCAAGTGTAATAAGATTTATTCAACAAAAATATACGAATAATTATGATAATTATTTTCGGAAACGATAGAATTCAGTTTTTCAAGATAATTCTGTAGAAATATTGTAACTAGTGAAAATACTGCAGACTAATATCCTTTATACTGTGATTATAAAATATCGTACATCAAGTTAGCTTTGGAAAATCTGTCGTTGCATTTTTAATAGGAATTTGATGGGTAGCAGTCTGCCATTCGTATCAGGCGCTTGTCAAATGTTGTAAATTAAGTATTAAAGTTATTATTCATAAAATTCAACTTATTTTTCAATATTGAATTATCCTGTCTGGGTTTCGTGACACCCCTTGTTCATTCGATAGACCAGTGGTGGGTTTGTCACCCCCACCCTGCTCAGGTCTCACTTGTAATTTTAAGATAGAACGTAATAAACCATCGAAGGGACAACAAGCCTATTACTCATCCCTTCAAACGTTCCAACACCCCTTATGGGTATGTCTAAGAAAAAATTAAACCAAAGTTTCATTAATACTTCCTTTGCCTTATTTCACAAATTATTGATGAAAATAAAAGACAGACTCATTCATTGTTATGAAATCAAGGGTTTATAGGAGATTTAAATGTATATCCAGTTACTACTAGTTCCACAGGAGAAAAAAACGGCATGAATATTATTGAAGACGTGTTCAAGTTACGTTTAATTAAACAGTTGACTCAAATCATTAAGTAGGTAGTAGACTGTAAATTCTGAATAGGAGGATGCAGATATTTCTGACGTAAATATCGCCAATGACACCTTGGAGGTGATTGATGATAGCGTAACGGTTTCTCCAGAGGACATTTTCCGTATTGGTAAGAAGTCCGGCAATCGCCCTAGAATTCTAAAGTTACGCTTCAAACATACTGAAACTGCCAGACTGTTACTCAAGAAAAAATTAAGATTAAAGGAATCCTCGTTCTCTGGTGTTATTGTGACTGATGACAAGACGCCTAACCAACTTGCGTGTATTAGCACCCTTCGCGATGAACTATGTAAACGTCAGTCAGCAGGTGAAACCAACTTAATTATAAAATATATTAAAGGTGTTCCACGCATTGTTGAAAGTACCATTTCTTCTGTTTCGGAAGTAATATCGCCGTCTTTAAACCTTTAAAGCCCAACAGTCTCGTCGACTTAACTATTTATTATCAAAATGTTCATTCTATTAGAAATAAAAATGATGAAGTTTTTACAAGCCTATGTGAATGTGAATATGACATTGTTTGCCTTAGTGAAACGTGGTTTGATGATAGTAACCTTAACGCCGAATACTTTCCTTCAGCCTACAATGTGATAAGAAGTAACAGGAACTTCCATGCAACCGGTCGTACGAAAGGAGGAGGAATAGCTCTTGCAATACATAACAAGTTCTCCTATGAGATTAT